GTTAAAGATGAGCACAGGACAGACTCAACGACTGCTGAGTAGAACTGTTTCAGCAGCTCCTGTGGCAGGTTGAACTTCTTCAGCTGGCAGAGGAAGTTCAGTCTCTGCTGGGCCTTTTTCACCACAGAGTCTATGTGGGTCTCCCATCTCAGGTCCTGGGAGATGGTCGTGCCCAGGAACCTGAAGGACTCCACAGTGGCCACAGTGCTGTTCAGGATGGTGAGGGGGAGGGATGCGGAGGGGGTTCCTCCTAAAGTCCGCTATCATCTCCATCTTTGAGCATGTTAAGCTGTTGTGACTGCACCAGACAGCCAGCTGCTCCGCCTGCTCTCAGACTCATCACCGTCCTGGATGAGTCCAGTAACAGTGGTATTGTCTGTGAACTTCAGGAGCTTCACAGAGGGATGTGAGGAGGTGCAGTCATTGGTGTACAGGGAGAAGAGCAGAGGGGAGAGAACACATTCCTGGGTTGGGGGCGCCGGTGCTGATGGAGCGGGTGCTGGATGTGAAGTTGCCCAGCCTCACCTGCTGCTGTCTGTCTGTCAGGAAAAGCTGGTGATCCACTGACAGGTGGGGGGTGGGACAGATAGCTGGGTGAGTTTGGGCAGGAGGAGGTCCGGGATGATCGTATTGAATGCTGAACTAAAGTCCACAAACAGAATCCTTGTGTAGGTCCCTGGTCTGTCGAGGTGTTGCAGTATGTGATGCAGCCCCAAGCTGATTGCATCATCCACAGACCTGTTTGCTTGGTAGGCAGACTTCAGGGGGTCCAGCAGGGGTCCAGTAATGTCCTTCAGATGGGCCAACAGTACCAAGGCTGGATTAAGAGTACTGATGCCAAGTGGGCCTTAAGTCATACACTAACCACTCGCCTGCCATCGCCCAATATTTGAATTTCTGCATTTAATGTGTGCCTTTAATGTGTCCTGTTAGAGCTTTAACATACAGTTCATATCTGGACATCTTAGGTCTGGTGGTGTTCATTTTATTTTTACGATTATTATTACTAATTAGCTATTTTTCACTATTTTTTTAATGTTGAAAAAACATCTTTTTTTTTAAGGAGATTCGGTGGAACATAGAAAAATGAGGTGTTTAGGTGTTTATTTAGTTAAAACGAGGAACAGCTTGTTTTTTCCCCCCGCTTTATCTAACCAGGTCAAAGTCTTTCTTTCTTTTTGTTTTAGGGAAATCTAACCCAGAATAAAAGTTATTGTTGCATCAATAAATGAATGAAATACCAACAGCACATACAAGTGTCACACACCACAGGAACATTCACAATATCCAGCTGAAGTATGTTAACAGTTTACTGACATAATAAATAAGATGAAATAAGATGCAGAAATGCTCACAGTTGTTGAATACAGTTAGAACAATGTATTTATAACAGCGACATAAACAGTTAGGAAATAACACATTCATTTGCTGTCTCAAATATTACATCGTCTCATTTTAAAGATCCAGACTGAAGATTTTCTGTTCTTAAAAGAAAAAGAAAAAAATTGGACTGAGCAGTCATTCAGTAACTGTGTCCGCCCTGATAAAATAAAGCAGATGCATGCAGAGGAGAAGCAGTAGATGGCGCTCTTGAGTCAAATAAGTGCTCTCTGACAGCTATTTAATTGGAGATGAAATCCTTGAGCTGTGTGTGTTTGGAGAGCAGCAGCTTGGCCAGCGCTTCCATTCAGCTTTATATTAGGATCTAATTACTGACAGGCTCTTTCTTTCTGCTTTATTTTCATGCTGCCTCTTCTGGATTGATGACTCAGTCACACACACTTTACATTTTTAAATTTAGCATCTCCCACAGGGATCGCAAATAATAAAATGGAAGGAAACAAACAAAAAGAGGCATGTATAGGCTTTATGAATCATGCTTGTGTGTGTGTGTGTGTTTTTTTTTAGAATGATTCTTGTTCTGCTGCTCTGATTGGCTGGCTGCATAGATGATAAGAGACACTTTCTCAGTTTTAGACCTATGGGCTGTCCATCATGGATCCACGTGGAAACAAATAGCTAGAGAAACTGAAGACGGAAAAGGATACAGGAATATTATTAACCAACTAAATATGAACTCACTGTACCACTAACCAGAGACTGCTGTTCTAAAACAACACCACAGTCAGTGCGCTGTGAAAAACAAACGGGCAAGTGCTTCAAATTTTGCACAGGGGCTATCAGTGGCAGTGACAAACATCAACCTCTACAGACAGCTTTCAAGAAAAGCACCCCGCTTACCAGCTGCAAGATGAAGCTGTACATAAGGACTTGAAGCCTGATGAATATTCTTTAGTTAGACGAGACTAACATAAATTTGTTCGGCTCAGATGGGATCCAGCTTCGTTGGCCCTGAACCCTGACTACCACAGTGAATCCACAGTCCTAACAGTGAAGCAAAGAAGCAGGATGATGTAGTGCTGCGACAGTGCAAAAGGTGTTGGACATGACATTTATAGAAGCACCACGAATTCCTGTGGATATGCCAAAATATGACAGCAGAAGCTCGGCAGAAGAGGAGATCCGAAGCTATGAAAACTATGACCTGGACAAATGGTCGCCTGACTTGAGTTCAACAGTAAATTATTATTTTAAAGAAGAAAGTAGAGCACAACCCCTACAGCAAAGAGCAGCTGAAAAAAAACCTGACAAATGGTGAAACGTCTCCGTTTTTCTCTCCTTCATGCTGAGAAACATTGACTGTCATCAAAAAGGTGAACATACAAAGTACTGGGAAAAAAAGACATTTAATTCTCAGTACTGAAAGGTGTCTTACCTTTTGTTTCATCGACTTCCTACAGTTAATCTAAGCTGTTCTTAATGTTGCATTAGAACAAACACCCTACTGTTAAACTTAGAAGAAATGCAGCGACTGAAACTATTTTGAATCACTGATATTCAAGTGATATTGCACAATGATGATATTGAAAAAACTGAAAGGAATGAGTTGTTTGATGTTATCGTAATATAGCTTAAATACAACACAGCTATATCTGTAGCTCAGTTATGTCTTGGACTTTGTCAGAAAGTAGGATGAATATCAAATGCTGTGTGTGCTCTGCTGGGATAAACAGACGTCTAAATTGAGTAACGCCACTTTCTGTTTATGCCAAAGTGCTACTGACCTCAAACATGGCTACCAGAGGTTGCATTATGTCACCAGGATCTCCTCTAAAGTATCAGGCTACATAAAAACATTAACATTTGAACTCTGATACTGACCACTGCAGCGATCTCCCGCCACACCCGGACACTTGGTGGTCCGGCTGTGGAACGCAGTTTAGACAGTAACCCAAGCCAGAACAAACGGGGGAGCTAAAAATACCAACAGCCGACAGCCTGGCTGCTGTGGGATTGAGACGGGGGGGCATGGGAGGGTCTTTATGTGGGGCTTAGGCAGGTTGGCAGTGGAGTAAGGGGATGGACAACTGGGTGGAGAGGTGGCGTAACAGCTAGAGCAAGAGACAGACAGAAAATACAAACAAAACCAGCAGAATTGACCATCCTTTGAGGGTAGAGCAGTAGAGGAAGGTTATCTCCCACTTGTTCCTCCTTCTGGTCCCTTCTTTTCTCTTTCCTTTGACATCTTTCTCACTGTGCCCGGGGGTGATGAACTTTACTCTTGGCTTCAAGCCCCCAGCAGCAGGCAGTTCTGGGCCCGGAGCTGGCAGCGGAGCAACTATGGAGAACCTGGAGAAGCAGCTGATCTGCCCCGTGTGCCTGGAGCTGTTCTCTAAACCCGTGGTGATCCTGCCCTGCCAGCACAACCTCTGTCGCAAGTGTGCCAACGACGTCTTCCAGGTGAGACTGAGTGTGTACAGTGACGTATTTAAAGCATGTACACTGCTTCAGTTTGAGGTTATATTGTTGATTTTTAAGGGGACCTCCACTAAAAACCTTGTTCTCAGAGACTGTAGTCACCATAGATTCACTGCAGTGACATGATTTCTAGAGGAAGTTGTTTCACAGCAGAAAAAATGTATTAAAATGTCTCCCACCTAACATTGTCATGTTGCTACCACCTTTTGTTATACTGATCATACATTTTCTTCACATATTTGTTGGTTTCAGCACCAAATGTGAACAGCCATGTCACAAATATTTTAGTATGTGTTGGGGATAAAACAAATAAAATATGCAGCCAGAACATTAAATCCACTGACAGGTGAAGTAAATAACATCAAATATGTCATTACAATGGCTTCTGTCAGTAGTTGGGATGTATTAGGCAGCGAGAAAACGGTCAGTTCTTGAAGTTGATGTGATCAAAGCAGGAAAAGGAGGCTCTATAAGGATCTGAGAGACTTTGACATGTTCCGTACTATGAAAGCATATGTCAGAGCATCTCCAGAACAGCAGATCCTGTGAGGTGTTCCCAGTATCTACCAAAAGCTCTTACGACACACAAAATACTAACTAATGTTCAGATACAACCAGCTGGTTCTTTGTTGGGCATGGGAGAGAGAAGACGAGAGCGAGGAGGTTTCCCTGGGCTGGTCCAGTCTGATAGCTCCATCTTCCTCCACATCAGCCAATCGGAAAGCTCCACCTCTTCTGGTGAAATGGATGCTGTCCATACACAATCAAGTTTAGGGGAGGAGAAAAGACTTCTGCCATCTTAAAAGACAGACACACTTCAAAATGTAATAATATGACCCTGGGTCATAACAACGGGTGTCACAGAGTGGCGCCTCACAGCTCGCTGTGTAGCTACAGACCAGTCAGAGTGGCCATGCTCACACCAGCGCACATCAGAAATGGACCGTGGAGCAACTTAAAAAGATGATAAATCATGTTTTCTTTAACATCATGTGAACAGCTGAGTGTTTGTGTTCTGTGGTGAAGAGATGGCAGCAGGATGCACTGTGGGGAGAAAGTAAGCTGGTGGAGGCAGTGTGATGATCTGGGTCTGTTGGCAAATCTTGACTTCTGCATTCACATGGAGGTGACTTTAACTTGTAGCACCCACCTAAATATTGCTTCAGAACACGTACACCTCTTCATGGTAGTGATGTTCCCTGATGGCCACTGCAAACATTGTTCAGAAATGTCTTGAGGAACATGACAAAGAGGTCAAGATGCTGGTCTCTAAATTCTTCAAAGCTAACAGGACTTAAAGGATTGCTAACATCTTGGTGTCTGACACAACAGGACGCCATCAGACGGCTGTGGAGTCGAGGCACAGCTGTTTTGGACCTATACAATATCAGGCAAATGGTGTTAATGTTGTGAAAGACTGGTGTATGATTATGCAGTCATTTGTATCTGTTGTAATGTCAATTTCCATTTTTTATGTTTACATCCATAAGAATGCATTCGTATTTATCTTTGACCTACAATTTGACGAACTAAATAGTTTCGCCCATAATTGTACTACTGTTTAGAAAACAGATGTGCAACTTGTGAAACAGGTTAAATATCTTTGTCTTGTGCAAAAGACAGATTTTCTTTGTAGTTTTTGTTCAGATGATCAAAAGAGTTTGGAGAAAAAAAAAACTGTTCAGAACAAGTGCTGCTTAACATTTTCCAACAAATGGTCAGAGAGTTATTTTTTTCAGAAAAACAAATGATTAATCTCTATGATTCAAATGTAATAATAATAGATGAGGCACAAACCAGCATCTTCCACCAGCAGTGAATCCTCGGTTCAACATAAGCCAGATCAACCTCCTCCTCTCTCTGGGGGCTTATCAGTGTGGAACAAGATTGTTGAAAATAGAAATGGACCAGAGAAACAGTTCAAGTTCAGTTTTTCATTAGTATTGTTTATTTGATTCATCCAGTCAGCTAACCCTCTGTGGCAGTCCAGAGGCTCCTCCAGCATAGTTGCCAGTGGCGGCCGCTTCCGCTGCCCGTCCTGCCGCCATGAGGTTGTGCTGGATCGCCATGGAGTGTTCGGCCTGCAGAGGAACCTGCTGGTGGAGAACATCATCGACATCTACAGACAGCAGGAGTCCTCCAGGTGAGGGAGGTGAGGGGTAAGAACCAGGGCAACTGTTACAGAAGAAGCTCAGATTTAAATATCCATTTAGGGGGTTTTCTTTTCTTTTTCTTTCAACAATGCATTTGGATCATTTCATCAAAAGTCATCAAAATTTTCAAACAATTTCAACTTGACCATTTCTGATTTGCTTTGATTGTCAGAGCATAAAATGTGGATAATCATAAAGATATCTGTGGGATTTAAGATTGATGTATTAGGTACTGTCCAAAATAAAAACCCCACTGTCAGCACGTTATTTTTTAAATTTTTTATTTTTTTGCATGTTTGAACCACAGTATCTCAGGGGCTGATGAAGATAAAAGCCTAAAATGTTCACTGTTTCTCATCATGCCATTGATTCATCCATCCATCCATCATCTGTACACCACTTAATCCTCACTAGGGCTGGAACCTATCCCAGCTGACTCAGGGTGAAGGCAGGGGACACCCTGGACAGGTCACCAGTCTATCACAGGGCTACACTTAGAGACAGACAACCAAGCACACTCACATTCACACCTACAGACAATTTAGAATCACCAATGAACCTCAACATGTTTTTGGCCTTGTGGGAGGAAGCCAGAGAACCCGGAGAGATGATTCTAAATTGTCCGTAGGTGTGAATGTGAGTGTGCTTGGTTGTCTGTCTCTAAGTGTAGCCCTGTGATAGACTGGTGACCTGAACGAATACCCACAGGTGGAGTTAAATACATTTACACATATTTACACCTGCTTTCAACTATTTATACAGTGCTTAGAAATGTTAAAGTGGACGTATGGAGTTTTTAAAATATTACAGGAAAAGTCACACATACAGGCTCATTTACTTTAAAATATTGTCCCTAAAAATCGGCAAAATTAGGAGGAGTTTCTGTATTATTTTATTTTTATTTTTTTACAAAATCTACCTGAGCAGAAAAGGAGCCTTAAAATGAAGCGTTATACTGCGCCTGATTATTCAAATGTTTGTTCAGTTATCAGCATTTAAAAATACCCTCAAGTCAGCTTAGAAAATAAGCATTTTTCAAAATGATTTGCAAGAGGAAGATAGCTCCCTGTTGCTGCAGTGATGAGTGAGCACCAGCAGAGAGCAGTGTTATATTCCACCACAGTGACGCTTCATCAGTGGTGCAGAGTCGATGCAGCCGAGCTGTGTGCAGTGTTCTAGTTTCTAATTCAGGGTGATGTGAAGTCATTTACAAAACGTCAGAATTTGTTTTGACAAAATGCTTTAATTGTTGTATATAACAGCATTAATGCTCATTTTCTGCGAGCTTTTCTCAATTCATTACACACTGTGGGGCTACATTCTCCTCAGTTTTTAATCAAATAAAAATCAGACATGAGTTCACAGTAAAATACTTTCATCAGTTTCGCAGCAAGTGAAGCATCTTGATTTTGTGTCTAACCTTCAGGCTAGGAGTCTGTTTTTATTTGCATTTTGATGCACTGCTTGATGAGTACACGTAGATGATGTATTGTGATCACATGACAGTGTGCTGGAAAGATCAAAGAAACTCCAGAGAGAAACTACATAAGATGCAGAATGTGGGAGTTCACGCATACTGGGAAGGAAGTTCTGAAGCTTTTCCTGTGGTCAGAGGTTCGTCTTCAGTTTAGAAGTAATAGAATTTCAAAACAGGTGGAGGACAATAATTTAATGTAACACCTCATGTCAGATATTGGGATCAGAACTTCTGAATCCTAATGTTTACTTCTGTCCCTCTGTGCCCTCCTTGCTGTTTTGCTGCTGCGTTGGGATAACAGGCAGCTGCAGCTTTACAAGCTCTGTGAACCAGCCTGTTTCATAATGAGTCACTTTAATCATTCAGCAAGTGTCCCAAATTTGGCCAAATCTCTGCTAATTTAGACATTATTGATCAACTAGCTAATGTTTAAAATACAGTTTGCGTGTGACGTCTTTTGCAGCTTTTTAATAAAAGTTAATTGTTCCAGATTGAAGCCTCTTCAGTACATCTGCCTCTGATTTATAAGCGTAGACACTTACTACAAGTGATATCTAAGTCAACCTCGGTGCACATTTGTCACTTTCACTCCAAAATAGAAGCTGTATGAGTCACTGGTAAAATAAGAGCGATGTTGGCATTGGTTAGAGACAGTAGGACAGGAGTCCCCTTATTTTCTGTGTGGGCTAAAATAGATGCGATTGTTCACAAATGTTTTGTAACTTGGAGTTTCTCATCCTTTTTTTTTTTCATGGGTGGAAGAAATTATCATTACTTAATCATCGTTTCTGTCAGAGACACCTACGTCAGAATCCAAAGGACAATTTATTGCATAAAATTTGGCTCCCGCTAAGTAGCCTGTGCTTTTTAGGACATCACACAGTGCCAGAACCATCCCCGTCCAAACCGCATACATTTACCTCTGTGACCTCCATGTGAGGTTCTTTTCTTCAAATCAAGTGTCAGGCGGCTATAAATCTGAGAGGAAAATGACATAAAACTACATGAAAATCACAAGTAGAAATGTATCATGTAGATAAATGTTTCTCCTGTGGTTTATTAAATGCATAATAAAGGAAACTGACGAAGCTATAAGTGAGCAATGACACACTCTTGATTCCTAAGCAGCCAAGCAGCAGCAGTCGTCTCAGCCAAACTCTTTATGTAGTTCCTCCATCACCCGCTGACGTCAAAATACGTCAGTGATAACAGAGATAAACGAAGCTGGTTCATCAATACGCACAATATTGCCAAGTCTCGTGGACGCTTTGCCACCAGTGCAAGGAAATGAGATTAAGAATTGGCCAAGTTTCCTTTAAGTCTTATTTTAAGGATATTAAAATGATGGCTAACAGTAAAAAGACTGTCATAAAATTGGAAAATACCTTTCCCCCGGATTGTCCTATATGTAAAACACTGGATGGATTTCTGGGTATTTAAAAATGTTTAAAAAAATGTGAGTTTTCTTTCCCTGAACTTTCTAGGTGCATGTGTCGACCCCATGTAGAGACTAAAACGACAATGCATGTTTTCTCTGAATTATATTTATTCATCAAACCTTTTATGATGTTTATACAGTCGTTCTCAGATGTATTCATACCCTTCCATTAAAGAAAAGGAAAAATTCACAATAGTCACTCAAATAACTAGAAACTGAAAAAAGTAATAATAAAGAAAAATTTCCTAAATTATAATTTAGTGAAATAAGACATTGCTTTTGAATTGTGGTTGAAAATAATAATTAAAACAAACAAAACTGTTTGAGCAACAAAATTAGAGCACTTTGCTGATGAGCAGTGGGCCAACATCCAAATACTTGTCAACAGGTCTGATGGAGAGTTACAGAAAACACTTGATTGCAGTGATTGGCTCAAAGGGTTGTTCAATAAAATATTAGTTTACGGGTCCCATCAGGCTTGTTTGCTTGTTTATATATTTCTGTTGAATCACAATTCAAAAGCAATGTCATGATTTTTATAAAATTTTTATTCATTATTACTTTTGTCAATTTCATCTTATTTCAGTGACACCTGTTTTTTTCCTTCTTGAATGGGAGGGTATGAATACATTTGAGGACGATTGTACTTTCTGTAAAATGTATCTCCTCACATGACGAGTTTGTTTTCAAACTCTCTTCCAATTCTGTCAGAGAAATACTATATACTGCTCATATAGCACCATCTTATCCATCATGTTTTAATTAGCTGGTACTAAAAATCGGGCTGCTAGAAGGTCGCCGGTTC